CTGCTGAAAAAAAAAATGTAAAAGCTATATTTTCGTTTTCTAATATATAAAATTCTTTATTTAAACCGGTTTTCTTTTCACCTCTCAAACGGAGTGGAACTTTAACGTGAAAGTCGAAATTGTCACAAATATAAAATGGAAAATCCAATGACACTGGTGTCTTAGCAGATACAAACTGCTGAGAAGAGCAAGTTGTGGATCTTGAAAAATGTTGATTGAAGCGATTCAGAGGCATTGTTGATAATGAAGTGACAAACTATGAAGGTTGTTCAATTTATTGTCTTTTTCTAAAGGACACTGAAGTAGAAATTCAACGTGAATATTATCTGCTGCAAGATTACTGTTGGGCATTACCATAAATTGAATAGAATCACCTTTACCTCACAATGTTGTTACTTAATAGATGATCTACAATATCGTTTCGGTTTTGAAAGGACATTCGTAACTGAATAGGAAAACACTGAATATTTTCAACTTTTCCTGTAACTGGAAACGTGTATGTGATGGTGTTATTATCCAAAGTATAGTGACTTAGACTAGAAGCGGGGTTTTTAGTTCCACGAATGGTTATTATGATGTTTTGATGGTTGACAAATATAAAATGAAGTAACTGGTGGTTGAAGTGTGGGTGATGTAGCTGAAACAATATCATCTGAACATGTGTTGATGGAGAGGAAATGCTGATTGAATTTGTTGAGCGGCATGTTCAATACTGATTCAAAAATGAAGATTTTTTTATATTTATGAAATTATCCCACCTTCACGTAATTCTTCTGTAAATGAGATAATTCCATTGTTGTGACCAGTATTACCAACTGCTTGAGAAGCCACTAGTAAACGTAATCAATCAATCAATTCGTTATAGTCATCGAAATATCTAAAATCTATTGGTGCCTTTGTATAATCCATCATTGTCATTATTCCTCCTTTTTTTGTCATGTTCCTCGTGAGTTCACCTTTCAATAAAAATGATGATACTGAGCCAGACCTAGGTCGGTTTCTCTCCAAATATGGTTTAATAATAAAAGTATATTTGTCTTTGATACCACTGGCAAATTTTCTTATTGGCAAGTCAGGATTATTATCACGACGATACGCATTACTAATTTTTATAATATCCACATACTGTAGAATGTCTTGTTTAGTATATACATTTGGTTGCTTCAAAAATAGCAACTCGTAAAGTCCAACAGTCCCAGGATAAGTAATATCGTTTATTTGAATGTTCGGGCCAATAAAATCTACTCCTGAGCTACCGATAAAAAATCTGTCGGTCATTGGATCATGGGAAATACCCAGATTATGATCGTATTTGCCTTCAACATCTCTAATCATTTCTTCAATATGGTCTCTTGGTAGTGGTGATTCAAACTGTTCGAAGTACTCTCTCAACACTGACGGATTAGTTATAGTTCGATAGAATTGTGAAATGCTATCATCAATTAATTGATCTTCTCTTGTTCTATCTGGCAATTCTCCTTCATCATTTCTAGATTCATAGGTTTCTTCGTTAGTTATAAAATTCGGTGGCTCTATTTTAGTACTGTTGAACTGAGGTTCTTCAATGCCCACAGCTGTCAAATCTGGGGGAGCGGGAGTCATGAACGCTAACTGATTGTACAAATTCGTTTTCGGACTATATTTTTCAAATTCTGGAGTGTCAAATTCTTGTTTGATGGGTTTTCCTAAAGTTGAAACCAATTCTTTTAGAGGTTGAGTAAGTGGTTCATATGATTCCTCAAGTTTTGTCTGTGATTTCACAATATCTCCTTTTATACTTTTGAATTTTTTCTTCAATTCTCGTCCAGATTTCACAAGTTGTTTCACTAATCGTGGATCCATTATGACTAAGTGAATCTTGGAAATGCATCTTTATATATGAATATACGTATCGAACCCCCGTCTATATCGCCCTGAAGACATCTCACAGTCTTTATCTATTACAAGAAAATCATACTTGTTTTTCCAACAGGACGATGCTACTTCTTTGAAATCCTGCAATTCCATATCAATGTTTGCATGGTCATCATAGATATGTTTCAAATTAGTGAGGTCTTGTGTGAAAATAATCAACAAATTAGTGTTGTCGCGTATAAGCTGTTTGGGAACAGCGGAATGTGTTTGACAAATATAAAAACAGTCAGTTTGTTTATGTCTACCAAAACAAAAATAATCTTTTATGATGTTTTGATCACACGATGCTACGTCATCGAATATGATTACGGAATTAACTTTGATGTTTTCTGCAAGGGGTACATCTTCACTATTGCTATATTCATGGTAGCCAATCTCAGTAAGTGGTTCAAGCAAAGCTCTCAAATATTGATATTTTGGTTGATTCAATGATTTTGAGTACAGGTAGATATTTTCGAATCGTAAACCATTAGGATGTTCTATGAGTGACAGCATAACATTAGTTTTTCCAGATCCGCTGGGACCTACTATCAATACCCTTTTAGATTCCCCTCCAAACAGTACACCATGTTTTCCAGTAGATTGCGTAACATTAACAAAATCATAGTTGTTGACGGGTAACGAAACATTTTGTTTTCGCAGCTTCATTGTAGCGGCATGACTGAAGGTATATAAGGGTGTGTGTGTATATATAATAGATTAGAATGAAGAGAACCACAAGAGTTAGAGGACAGCAGAGAGCCGAGGGAAGAGGTTTCGTTAACACATTGATAAATAAATTACCCTTTGAAGTTCATTTACCAAATTACAACTATTGTGGACGTGAGTGAATGTTAATAACATTTTTGTTGTCGTTCTTGGCGTTTCATTCGAAGACTATATTGGTACTTGTTTTTTTTTCAGCGGGCACCACACTAAGACAGCGCTTTGCACGTAGGGATCTTGGTATCAATCCTCTGGATACTGCTTGTGAAGAACACGACATCGCCTACTCACAAAGTGCAGATCTTGTTGACAGGCATAAGGCTGACGAAATATTGGAGAACAACGCTTGGGAAAGAGTTGAAGCAAAAGACGCCAAACTAGTAGGAAAGGCAGCAGATCCACTGACATCAACAGTATCAATCAGAAGTAGTGAATGGATTAATTTTGGTGTTGACAATTCCATCGGGAATTTACTGGGATTTGGTAATAGAGTAAAACTTGAACCGGACATGCATCATACCTCACCAAACAAAGTGAATAACTTGAAAGTAAATGCTATATGTATTGATTGTAACATTGCTGTAGGATCACTTTTGAATGAAAAACCTGTTCATTTAATCCACCAATTTTTTCCACAAGTTCCTAGCGGGTATAAAATAGTGGAGCAACCACTGACTATACTTTATTATCCTGTTAGCATTGAAACCATAAGCAATATCAGCGTGAGAGTGCTGGATCAAGCAAGCAATTTGGTAAATTTCCGCAACGAAACTATCACAGTTCGTTTACATCTTAGAAAAGTTGAATAAGATAATGGTGTTACGATATCATCGTTTGGAACGGCCATACAGTAAACAATATAAAAAGGAGCACCTCAAAAGTACTGTCAGTTCTTCATCAATCAAGGAAACGTTAACATCAGGAAATCGTCAATTTTTGAAAAGTCTAGGTTTTCACGTATTGGTGTGATGGAATTATTGAATGTGACAGGTCATCCTTTCAGTGACACAACAATTGAAGATTACCAATTTCATACTTATCAACCATACAACAACGCATCCCTCAACTACAACGATGAAGTCAGAATAAGCGTCCAGGACGTTGAGAATTTCACTTTGCCCTGCAATAGTATACTGTACGTGGAAGGAATATTTCTAACTGAGCAAGACAAAGTACCAACTAAATTGCAATTTATCAATAACGGTTTGGCTTATTCATTCAGGGAACTGAGATACGAACTTAATGGCGTTGTGATATATTCTGTTCGGAACGTTGGTCTAGTTTCAACCTTGAAAAACTATTTGTCTTTGAACGAAAATGAGAGTAAACTGATGCAAAATGGAGGGTGGTTTCCAAAGAATAACGATGAAAAAATTTTGATTGACGCGAAAGGAAATTTCAATTTATGCGTACCATTAAAACTGTGGTCTGGGTTTTTTGAAGACTTTCGGAAAATTATAATCAACATGAGACAAGAGTTGGTTCTTATTAGAGGAAAAGATGACCATGATGTAGTGATTGCTAAAGACAATACAGAAAAACCAAAAATTAAAATTACTAAATTATATTGGAACGTACCTCATATAACACCGAGCATAACAGAACAACTACGTTCGAACAAGATAATTCGTAGTAACATAGAACTACCCATCAAAATAAGAAGCTGGGAATTGATAGAATATCCTTCTTTGAATGATTCTACTCGTCATACTTGGCCAGTTAAGACTTCTTCAAAGTTGGAACGTCCCAGACACATCATAGTAGCTTTCCAGAATGATCGGAAAGGAGACATTTTGAAAGATATGAGTAGATTTGATCACTGCAACTTGACAAATATACGAGTATTCCTAAATAGTGAAAGATTCCCTTATCAGGACTTGAACATAGATTTTGATAGTAATCGGTTTGCAACATTGTATGAAATGTTTGCCAACTTTCAGGAAAGCTATTATCACATCCAAACCAATCAACCTATATTTAGCCCCCAGGAATTCGAAACCTTGGCTCCAATCGTTCACATCGACTGTTCACGTCAGAAAAAAATCATTCAAAGCGGATCTGTTGTTCTGCGAATAGAATTTGAAACGTTCAAATCTACCGGTAATAATGTGTCTGCATATTGTCCCATATTACACGAGAAAGAATTCTATTATAATCCACTGAATAAAATTGTACGTCAATAAAATATAGAACCATCGACTTGTTAGTCTAACACAGTCAGTCAGTTGGTGATGTTGCGTGAGTATGGACGTAAGTTAGAAAAATTCCTCCGTGAGTTAGCACAACTCAAACTTGAAATAGAACAACTTGAAAAGATAGGGTTGCTAACAAAAGAGATAAAAAACATCAAGATTTGAAGTCGATCATAGATGTTCAAGTATTCAATTTGAAGAATGATGAATATATTCCTTTTTGTTATATAGATTGGCCATTAACTTTGACAATTCTGATGCTGGTGAAACACGATGCTCTGCACAAAAAGGAAAATCTTTGTGTAAATCATGTAATACTTCAGGATACTCTAAGTCAACTTGTAAAATATATCCTATTGGGGAATCATCGAGAACACTTGTTACATCAATGGCAGTGTCAGCCCATTCGAACCCTTCAAGAGGTAATGGCTGAGCCATTGCCCATCCATACAAATTGTTAACATCAAGGTATAAAAGAGATTTTGTGGTATCGGAGGCATCATATTCAGGCATATACTTATTGTTAGCCTCTGAATATCTATTGCAACAAACAGATATTCCGCCTCGAATTCCTTTCTCTATGAAAAGGATCATGTCGACCTCTTTCAAAATTTGTAATTTGCACTTAGTATACTTGAGCATAGCATCTCAAGTATAGCCGGGCATTGTATAGTACCATGCAGGGTCTAAGCCATAGGTTTTCAGAGCTGTTTCTCTGAAATTTCCCATGACATCTGTGAGTAGAAGGATATCTGTTTTCATGTAAAAATTACTATTTTCTCCAAGTGTTTGCATATCAAATGCTTGCCAAACGTTTTGTGCATGAGCATAGTCTTCTTCACAAAGCTCCAGATCACTCAATTTGTTGTAAAATTCCGCAATAGATGGCAATTGAACTTCTTTCAACTTTTCAACATGATCCACATAGTCGTAAGGAAATACACGTTTTCTAGTCAATAGCTTGAATCTATGATCATCTAGATGATTGAATTCACACTTCAGATTCTGAAAATCATCCAAACATAAAGTGGACACGAGTTCGTCAAGACCAGCACCCATAAATCTGAATGAATCTATAAACCTGAATTTGATGTTATTATCAGCAACATGAAGGGTGAAAGAGATGTATTTTTCTTTGTTTAAAGGAAGTACACTCATGGTACCATATTTTACAATGTCTTTGATTATGAAATGACTATCATAGCCAGATGGGTTATGAAAAACTATTGGCACAATGAACAGTTTCCTGGAGAAGAGGTTACAATCTTGGTGGGAAAAACCCCGAAAGTGACCAGTGAAGTGATCGTGATCTCTTACTACAATGTCGTTTGCTCCCAAGAATTTTTCACAGATATAACAAATAACAGCATTCATAGTGTTGGGTTTTTCAATCATTGGTACGATTCCTAATATTTTGCTTTCTACGAACTGCGCGATACTTGTGATTTGTTTAGAAAACCATTTCATACAATTTTCGCCTTCATAGCTATTGAAATATGAAATCGAATTATCATAGGAACACTTCAAGTAATAACCCGCACAGAATGCCTTATGTTCTTGATATTTCTTTGTTGTTTTTGATAATTTAGATTCACAAGGTTCTAGGATGGATTCAAAGTCAGCATATATAATGAAAGGTGCTTTTTGTTTATACACAAAATTTCTGAATTCCACGAAGTCATATTTTGGAAATGAGATTTTGCAATCATTAACAGATTCGCAAAGATCAGAATGTTTTTTCAATTTTTCTTCATTATTAAAATAATTCAGACAGCGATCACAAAACTACTTGTTGACTTTACTTCCACTCAGTTGGCCAGCTAGGAGCCTAGATAGATTCTTAATCCAACAAAAGTAAAACTTTATTTATGTGTCATCATGATCATCATCAGGAATCGGTGCTTCGTAATCGTTCAATTTTGGATAATATTAATTTTGAATCAATAGCAAATTGACATGACGCACTAGTTTGGTCTTTGTTGATCTGACAGGTACTACTACATAAAATGAACTATTTTCCATACTATTCATTTCCAAAGCATAAACGTTGACTGATATATTATTCAATTTTTCAAATTTACCAATTTGGCCTAATTTCATGGGTATTTCTAATCCTCCAGTATTTAGAACAAGATCGTATGATGAATATGATGACGTGAAACGATAATTTTTAGTTGGTTTATAGAAAGCGCTGACAATGCTCCAATAAAAACAGGCTTCATCATTGTTTTGTACATTGACGCATGCTCTTTTCCTCATGATTTGTGATGGCAACTTGATAAATGATGATCCATTCCCAATCTCATATTTGTTGATGGCTACTTCTAAAAACAAAATGTTTCGCAATGTCCAACCACTCCCCTTCGTTTCAAACTCAGTCAACTTATTCAAAATATGATCTACTACATTTTCTTGGTACCAGACTTTTCGCTTGACTTTTTCACAAAGTCCCCCGTAAATGTAGTATTTACTTTCAATAATAACATTTGTTTCAATATTTTTTTAATTCTGTTTTCGAACAAATGACATGCATCAGATAAAAATTTTTTGATATCTTTATGCTTCATATTGATAATCACACCTGTTTGAATTCTATTATTGAAACAAGCATTAATATTTTCCCAGCGAACCCTACTATCTAGCTGTATACCACGACCTATATGTTTGTTTTCCACTTTCAGTAAACACCTCATCCGTTTCAAATGGCAAATTTTCGTGAGAATTTCACGTTTCTGACCAACCGAAAATTTATATTTTTTCAAAGCTAGATAACATTTCCTGATATGCTGATAAATGAATTTTATTGATATTTTTTCAGCCGAATTTGTTTGAATTGATTCAATAGACTGGTTAATTGCGAATAGGACACTTCGCGATTTATCCATATTGAATGTATCACTATTATTCATATAATGTATCTTACCACAATTATGTACTTAGATTTCTATTATTTCGAAAGATGCAGCAGAATTGGGTTTTCCAACTTCCACGAGGCCCTTGAATACTACTGCGTATTTTCCTTTTTCAAAGAAGTCGATAAATTCCTTGTATTTCTTGGTTACCCTCTGCGGAAGGAAGGTCACATGTGTCTCTGATTCCAGTAGTACTGTTTCACCAAATCTACTCTGTACGATCTTCGCTGCTTCAATTCTTTGTGGTTCTCCAGGCAACAGGTCATGCAACTTGACAACTGGCTTATTTCCCTTTCCTAAAACTGATATGGTATTCAATGATTTGAGATCCATTCTGAAACAAGAAAAATGAAATGAAATCATTGGAATAGGTAGGAATCAAAAAACAGAGGTTGTGATACACCATCCAAGAAATAATGAGACTTGAGATGTGAAGTGAAAAGATAGTAATAGTACGTGAGTCATAATAATGAAATTAACTAAACAATCAAAAATTGTAGACTTACTTTTTCAGAAGTTGGGAGGTATTGTTCAAGAGTTCACAAACAGGTACTTTCTTCGTTATTAACGATATAGAGTTTTCTTCGTTCTCGATGATATAGAGCTGAGAAATCTCAATTATGAAAGGAATGGTTCGCGTTTATATACTATTCTAAGTACACCTTCAAATTGAGATTTTTCTGTCAATGATGTACTTACAATCTCCTTTCATTTCTAGATTTTTCTTCTCATTTATTAGGTCTACACTTTCAATTAGTAGTTTTCAATCCATTACTTCGCTGAATTAATTACACTATATCTATCACTTGTTTTTTATAGACCACGACACTGAGGAGTCCATTTTATCAGTAGATCGCTTTCTTTTGATTTTAACATAGTAATAAAATTCGATAATAAAATTTGGCAACAAATCGTAACAAAATTACTATCCAGCCAACTGGTCACAAGTATGGTTAGGGTAAAGAAAAAATCGCATTGACATTACCTAGAAACCCCCCATTGTCCGCTTCTTTGCTCAAACTAACAAGCGAAAGATGCAACGCCCGATATAGCCACCGGCGACAGTTAATTAACCGGTGCTGGCCGCATTCATCTCGAGCACGCTGCGAGAGTTCGATAATCGACGAAAGTGAATGGATACAAATGGAGATATTATAATGCAGTTCGAAACTTGTATGTTTCAAGACAATTATCAATACATTGTAGAGGAGTTTCTCTCGTGATTTGCCATTTGTACTTTTATTTATACATATTTGTTAATTTTATTTATGACGTGTATGTGTTGTTCCTATACCTATATTCAGTTTCATTTATTCATATTTGTCATATTATCTATATATCTTTTATTCTATATGTTATATGTATAACAATGTTTCGTACTTTTTGACGTTTTACTCTTTTTTATTTGTATTACCACGCTGTTGGTGTGCGAAGTAATTTGAGAAAATAAAGAAATTATTATTATTATTATTATTATTATTATTATAATGATGTAGGAATTATAAGAACAGACAAAAGTTGGTTGCATCTAATAATAAGATGCATTATCGAATATTTTCAGGTCATTTCACGCCTACAAGGTGGCCCGGACTAAAAAACGAACGATGCAAAGTCTGAATCTAATAATAAGATGCATTAGCGAATATTTTCAGGTCTTTTCACGCCTTCAAGGTGGCCCGGACTGAAACACGAACGATGAAAAGTCCGAGATACAACTTAGTAGCCCTATACGATCAGCCTCGACTTGACTTAGAACCCCTATACGAGTCTTTTCTGGCCTCATGCTTTCCCACGTACGCGAGGATCATATACCACGAACGATGACCTGATTAACTTCGGAGCCCTATAGCTCTACTACTTGGGTTGAATCGTTACCACCGATACAACAAGGCCTGCATGCTCCGTGGGTGACGTCACTTAGTCAGGCCTAACCAGCGGCTCGAAACGACAAGCGCTTATAGCGTATTTCGATTTTAGTTTTAGATCATCATTGAGCCGATTTTGCTGTTTTTTGAAGGGTTTCCGGTTAAAAAAGGATGCCAGTCTTCAACTGAGCCCTTCTTCGCACCCCATTCGATTTTATTATGGAAAAACGAAGTTTTAAAGCGAAAACCAGGATAAAACACAAATATCCACCTACAGCAACCCATTCGAATTAAATATATTGGCAAAAATTGTGGTGGAGGTAAACTTCACACCTACTTAGACAGGGCCCGCAGGACATAAACTTATCGTGAGATTGATCGAAAGAAAATCGTGGAAAATGTATTTTATTTTGATTGACATGCCGTTTGTTACAATTACCTATATTCATCTTGGAGAATTCCTATTACCTGAAAAAATAACCAGTGAGTGTTTTCAATTTTCTGTTGTTGGATTTTTCACCCAAGTAGATCGTTACACTTGAAACCGTAATTTTTAAGGGTAATACTGCATTTATCATGCGATGGTTTTTTTTTTTTGGAAATTTTTTTCGGTACTCACGTATTTTTGTCTGATAAACCGAATTTCATAATGAAAATGTGAAGAAACCACTATTTATTGAGATATTTCAAGAAAAAGTTCGAAATTTCGCCTTCTTTCTCCCCTTTCTCCCCTTGTGTTGGGGGCATTTGAAGCTACTTGCTCTTATTTTGTCATTGGACACTTCATATACTCATGATGTACTTCGATGGCACATTT